TGACTCCACAAGCTACGGCGGTGATGCAGAGCTGCCGGTGAGTTTCACACAAATCCAGGACAATGCGCTTCTGCTCTCATACAAGGAAGGGCTGGAAACTGATCCTTTCAGATTCAGTCATTTCGCCTTGGCAGGCCTGCGGCGTAAACGACTTATACGTTGTATATGGAGATTATAACGCAAGTCTTTGTTAAACGGTGCGCCAATTCCTTCTCTTACACAAACTCTCCGTAATTCCGTGCAGCATTTCTAAGTCCAGAAGAGAGGTATTTTTTTTAAATCTATGATCCCCAAGGGGCGATTAGTTTTGCCAGCAACAGAAAATATAAAGAAAGTCACGCACACGCACATATACAGAAGAATAATATGTTAAGCAAGGTTGTAACCGCGGGTACATACTGTATGAGAACGTGAAGGAGTTTGTTTTGAAATGGGAAAGTCTGTATCTGCGTTCTGAGGGGAGTAACGCCTGTGGTAGCGAAGCTCGGTTCTGCAGAACCACAGATCCAGTCGGTCCCGCTGATCACCCTGACATAATCTCTTGCAAAGACATGGGACACTGGAGCCGTGTAAAGCTTTCTGCATTGTGGCTGGTCACCCCCGATCGAGTCATCTAGTTTAACAGAACACGTTGTCAATGCGGGGTTTTGAACTGCATCTATAGCACTTCAATATTTTTAAATGGCCATATTGTTCATGTTTTTGTTTTCATTCCCATCGTATTCCACTCAATGTGCTGTCCCAAGAGAGGAAACTCTGAGGAGGCTTAAAAGAGGAGAGGTTTAGGGGAAAGGGTCATTGTGTACGGTGATGGGGACGCTATATTACACTTGGTCTTAGCTGAAAGGCCAAGAAGACACACAAGACTACAGAAACTCACCACTGGCAGCCCCACTGGAGCTCAGCAAGTGTGAGCCTGGCCAGTACCTGGAGGGGAGACTCCTGGGAAAGCTGAGGCTGCTGCTGGAAGAGGTGTTAGTGGGGCCAGTAGGGGGCGCTCACCCTGCGGTCTGTGTGGCGTAAAACCGTGTGGTCTAAAAAGGCGTAAAACCTTTGCATTAGACATAAAACCAAGGTCATTTAAAATCCCAGGGTGTTTCTCAAAAAGAATAGTGTAGTGCTACTCCAGTGTCCTTGATTGTACCAATCATGGCCTCCTAATAATCCCCCATTTGTGATGTGTGGTGAGTACACTTGTGTACTTTGGCTGCTGTTGCATCATCCAGGTGGGGCTGCACACTGGTGGTGGTGCTGGAGGGGATCCCCATGACCTGTAAAGTGCTTTGAGTGGAGTGTCCAGAAAAGCGCTATATAAGTGTAAGGAATTAAATAATTAAACTAACCACTCTGAACTATGACTCGTCAGTCTTGTTTCTCCACCAGCAACGAGACCGTGCTCACCCCTGACTTCTATTCAAAACTGTGTGTAAACAAAACCTGGCCTTTTAAAAGCTGGAATCTTTAACCTTCTAATATTGTGTACACCATTGATCAGACCCTCAACTGTCTGGCACACAATTTTAGCTCTAAGGAAAAAGCACTTCTTTTTTTTTTTCAGGGAGATTTGGAAGATTTCTTGATCGCTTAAGGACCTGACCGATACAAAAATACCCAGGGTGTGTTGTTTTATTTCTGTTGGGTTTGCTTGTTGCCGTCTGTTGGGAGCCAAGCGCGGAGTTGGACCCGTGCGTCATCTGAAAGCGCCGCGGCGACAGATTTCAGAACCAGATGGCCCGAGCGTGGTCGCCCCGCGCTGGAAACACGAGTTCATGGTCCTTCCCCGATCAGCCATTTTGTCACGGTTCAGCGAGGGAGAAGCGCTGTTTTGTGTTCAAACGGTGGGACAAGCGCTTGTGTACAACAGCTAGCAATGCATTAATTATTAAAGGAGAGGACGGGCATACGGGAAAAGCACTGTTGCAGCATAGGTTATGGAACAATGTAACCTAATTTCTTTTTCTGAAAGCATAATTGTTTACCCCCGCTCATTTCTTGACCTTAACCCCCCCTTGGCCCTGCTAGTATAATGAAAAATAATAGAGGGGGGGCTGACCTCATCTGCAGGTTCTTAACTAAAGGCGCCAATGAACACAAAGAATGGGCGGCCCTCGGGTTTAAAAACCAGGAGACCGACAGCCGCCCTGGCCAATCGCAATGTACTGCGCGCGTAATTCTAGCCAATCGTCGCCCCCGTCGGCCCCGATTATGTTAATCGGGGTCGATCTCGTTGAGCGCCAGCCCGCCCGTCCAATAGCGAGGCGCGAAGCGGCCGGGCGCCAATCGCAGGGCGCGGGAGGCGGGGCTTAACGGAGGGGGCTGGGTGCGAGGTATCATGGAGGCTCAGTTAGCGAGCAGCAGCCATTGAAGAAAGCCGAGACGCGGGGGCAGAGCTCTGGAGTTTCTGCAGTTTTTTTTCCCCAATTTAGTTTTCTTTCCCCCCTTTCGTTTGCAACTTTTTTTTATTTTGCTATTTATTTTTTCCAGACAAAAAAAAAAAATGGACATGAAGAAGAGGATCAGTTTGGAACTGAGGAACAGGACTCCGGACGAGGTAGGAGCTTGCCTTTCCCTTTGCCTTTTATTTATTTATTTCTTTAAAGAACCGCCGAGGCAGCTCGGCGGGTGTGATGGTAGCGAATGTGGAATTAGGCATCAGCTCGCCCGACCACATGGGCACCAGCGCGGAGACGCGTCGGAAATTGAACTTGGGGAAAGTTTCGTGCCGTCGGGGAAAGCCGCCCTCCTCGATAACAGACCGCTCTCCCCTCCCTCCCTCCGATTTAATATTTTAACAGCTCCCAGTAATGGCGATGTCGGGTCTTTATAGATGTAGCTGAGATCCGAGATGTTGCGGCCGGGCTCCGGTCCTGCCTGGCGGCGGCTGTGTCCGCGGCGACTGAGCGGGACCGGGACCGGACGGGTCGGGCGAGGGGCAGGGTGTCGGGCTGCGGGAGTCCTGTCGCGGCGCAGCCCGGGGAAGTTTTTGGGGGGTGTTTGTGTTTTTGTTTTGCACCCAGATTATTGAATCGGTTCGGGTCGAGCAGCAGCAG